GACCCCACAGTCTCCCCGAACCCGGGCTGACACTCCCCGCGGACCCCAAGGTTAATACTCCAGAATGAGGTTCGTAGATTTGTTTGAGCCCACAGCTGAGAAGTGGCTGTGGCAGGTTAGGTGTGGCCCCCGGGGAAGGCTGTTCGGAGGTCAGTGGCCCCTGTCAGGGCTGTCCCTCCGTGCTGCCAGCCTGGAGACGTGTGTCTCCTGCCTGACTCAAGCGCCCTTGCTTTGCTCTGTGGTTTTAGCGAGTTTATGGTTGAGGAGCATGAGCTGCGGAAAGAGCGAATCCAGGAGGATTACAATGACAAGTACTGGGACCAGCGGTACACCGTCGTGCAGCCACAGATCCCGTCCTTCCTGCAGAAGATGGCGGACAAAATCCTCAGCACAGGTGCGGCAAGCACGGGCAGGCGTGGGGGGTGCGGCATAACTGCCCGGAGAGTCTCCTGCAGTCCGGGCCCTTACCCGGTGGGCGCCCAGAGCCCGGGTGTCTGAGTGCGGGGCGGAGGTTACATCTGGCTTGTGAGCTGGGCTGTGCGCTCGGCACTGAGTTGGGCCTTGAGATGGTCTCTGCTGCCAGGTTTTCATCAGGTTGCCGTTTTCTCCCTGACCCTAGGAGGCTCTCTCACAAGTGCCTTCTCTGTGTTTCGTTTCTGGTTTCTAAAACTCCGTCAGCATGACGGGAGAAACCGTCAAGCACTCACACCTGCTGGCCGGCAGTATTTCGCTCTCTGACCACACAGGTTAGGGCCTGACCCAGACTCAGGGCAGTGGTGCGGGGACTCAGCCTTGGCACGTCGGGCCATCACGAAAGGGCTGGGAAGCGATTAGCCCTCTGGTTCTCATAACGCCTTTTTGAAATTATTTATCTGCCCTTGGTTAGAAAATTCCAGATGTGCAGAGCCACGGCAGAGCCCCAAGGCCACCACCTCGCTCTGTAGCCGCTGGCAGCAGTTTGCTGGAAAGGAGCCAGGGCGTAGAGCTGGTTACATAGCCCATTCTGTTTCCAGTACGCCGCCTCCTGTTTAGACGAAGACGGCTGGGGCCTGAGATTTTGAATTTGCTTTCTTCCATCCCTTCTCAGGCAAATACCTAAACGTGGTCAGAGAGTGTGGCCACGACGTCACCTGCCCAGTGGCTAAAGAGATCATCTACACGTTAAAAGAGCGGGCGTACGTGGAGCAGATCGAGAAGGCGTTTAACTACGCCAGCAAGGTGCTGCTGGACTTCCTGATGGAGGAGAAGGAGCTGGTGGCACACCTCAGGTGGTTCTCTGTCCCAGTGTGGGCACCTGCCTCCCTCTGAAACCAGAGTCTGCGGGATGTGGGGCTGAGATGGCCAGGTTCCTTCTGGCAGCTCTGCCTTGTCGTTTTGAAAGTGGGCACTGCCAGATGGTCTCTAGCTTGAGGGCCTGGCACATGCTGTGGGCGGTGTAGGCCCCGGGTCACCTTGTCCAGGGGCCCCCGCTCCCCTCCCTGCCCAGGGCCCACCTGCCCCTTTTCAGCTCCTCCTGCCACAGCCTGCACAGTGTTTTAAGAGCCCCTGTCTGAGAGCCAAGCGCTTAGCTCGTTTTAGCGTGATGCTGTGGTGAGCACCTGCAGGCTGGGGGACGTGCTCACACCTGCTCCCTGGCACAGGTCCATCAAGCGCTACTTCCTCATGGACCAGGGGGACTTCTTCGTGCACTTCATGGACCTCACGGAGGAGGAGCTCCGGAAGCCGGTGGAGGACATCACGCCCCCCCGCCTGGAGGCGCTGCTGGAGCTGGCGCTGCGCATGAGCACGGCCAACACCGACCCCTTCAAGGATGACCTCAAGGTGGGTGGGGTGCCAGGGGCTGCCCCCTGCTGCAGGGACCTTGGAGGGGCTGGGAGGAGAGGAGAGCCCAGCGCAGCCCTGTCCCCCCTCCTCCACTCCCACGCAGTCGAGGCGACTGCAGGGTCTGTCTCCTTCACTCTCTGCTGTGGGGGCTGCTTGCCCGGGTCTCTGGGGGTCTTTGTGCCAGTGCCCACGAGGGGCGGGGGTTTTGGGTTTTCTTGCTGGGATCTCTGGGCAAGGTCTCCAGGGGTCTTTGCGCCTGTGCCCACGAGGGGCGGGTCTCAGGTTTTCTTGCTGGCATCTCTCTGGGCAGGGTCTCTGGGGGTCTTTGCGCCTGTGCCCATGAGGGGTGCGGGTCTCGGGTTTTCTTGCAGTGCTCTTGTCCAGCCTGGGTGTCAGGCTTTGCTGCCTTCTGGAATGCATTTGGATGTGTCCCTCCACCTGTTTTTTGAAAGGGCTTCAGGAGTGGTGTTAATGCTTTTTGTTTTTGTTTGTTTGTTTTTGAGACAGAGCTTCATTCTTGTTGCCTAGGCTAGAGTGCAGTGGCACAGTCTCCCCTCACTGCAACGTCTGCTCCCTGGGTTCAAGCGATTCTCTGGCTCCGCCTCCCGAGTAGTTGGGATTACAGGCGCCCACCGCCAGGCCCAGCTAGTTTTTTGTATTTTTAGTAGAGATGGAGTTCTACCATGTTGGCCAGGCTGGTCTTGAACTCCTGACCTCAGGTGATCTACTCACCTCAGCCTCCCAAAATGCTGGGATTGCAGGTGTGAGCCACTGTGCCCGGCAATATATATATTTTTTTCTGTTTTTTTATTTTTATTTTTAATAGAGATGGGGGTCTCACTATGTTGCCCAGGCTGGTTGAACCCTTGGGCTCAAGTGATCCTTCCACCTGGGCCTCCCCAGGAGCGTGTTGATTCTTTGAATGTTTGGCAGGTTTGTCTGGGAGCCCTCAGGCCTGGGCTTGTCTCTGTTGGAGGCTTTGAGATGGACTGGGTCCCTTGCTGACCATGGGTCTGCTCTGTCCCCTCCAGTCTTCCGGCGCGCAGTTCATGGAGTTCGAGTGTCTGCTTTTTATTTCTGTGAGATGGGTAGTTATAGCCCTTCTTTTTCTGATTTTGGTAATTTCAGTCTTTCGTCTTTTCTTAGCTGATGTAGCTAGAAATTTGTCGATTTCCTTCATCTTTTCAAAGAACCAACTCTTGGGTTTGTTGACTATTTCCCTGTCTGGTTTCTCTCTTCTCTCATTGTTGTTACTCCTGTGTGCTGTTTAGGGGTTTAGTGAGCTCTTCTTTTTTCTGCTTTCTTAATTAGCAAAGTTAATTTATAGCCGTAAACACCCCACCCAGCTCGGCCTTCGATGCCCCCAGCATTTGCATTTCCATGTCTCTGGAAGTGTTTCTGATAACCCTCGTGATTTCTCATTTGAACCATCGATGGTTTATGATTAACTTCCCTGTGTTTGTTAATTTTCTGGTTTTCCCTCTGTTACTTCTATCTAACTTCATCTCCTGTAGTTAGAGAGCAGACTTTGTGTGATTTGAGTTTTGTGAATGTATTGATTTGTTTAGCGGCCCCACATTCACCCTGGAGAGTCTAACATGTGCATGGGAAGAGAATGTACCTTCGGCTGCAGGTGGGGGCTGGGGTGCTGAGGCCCTGTCTGTCCTCACCCATCTTCTGTCTGGCGGTTAGAAGTTGGGCCCTGAAGTCTCCTGTCACTGCAGAACTGTATTTCTCCTTGTAATTCTGCCTGTTCTTGCTTCAGATATTTTGGGGTCTATTGTTAGGAGCAGGAATATTTTTGTAGGAAAAATTCCTGGTAGTGAAATTGTTGGGTCAGCACACACCGAGGCTGACCTCACTGGAGCACGTTTCAGGACTCCGGGCCACACAGCTGGGCTGCTGTGCACACACCTGCAGAAGCTCTTGGCTGCTCTGATGAGCGGGAGAAATGGCATCAGGGTTCATGTCTGTGTTGGTGGCGGGGAGCGCTTCGTCTGCCTGCTGCTCGCCGTCTTCTTTATCCTCTGCCCTTCCTTTGCTGTCCTGTCGCTGTGTGCTGGTTTTACGGGAACGCTGTCGCAGGTAGTTGGAAGTACTTGAGTAATATTGTGAGGACGGTATTATTTGCCCGTAGTAACCGTCATATCCTTCATCAAATACGCTTCATTTTTGACCTGGGCCTGTGCTTGTCATGGCATCCGAGGCCTTCAGGTTCCTCTGACCGTCCCTAATGGATTTTCCTTACATCATCTGGCAACAGTACCTGTTTACAAAGTCATTCATCCGAATTTTTTTGTTTTGTTTTGATGGGAAGTGGTTCAGTTTTGAATTAGGATTTATCAGTAGACGTTTGGGTTTTCTAAAAGCCGGCCTCTGATGTTCAGAATGTAGGGCCGAGGGCCCCACAGGGTCGTGGGGTGAGCCTTATGCTGTGCTGAGGTGCAGGATCCGAGAAATAGACACAGGACACAGAAGTACAAAGAAAACGCAGCTGGGCTCGGGGGGCCACGCCACCTATAAGCGGAGTCAGGCGAGGCCCCGAATGTCCAGAAGCTTGAGTATTTATTGTGTATAGATTAGGGGGCAGGGCAGTGAGTGAAATCATCTTTAAGGAAAGTGATAGGGTCGTGAGCAATAAAACATGGGGTCCACCCCCATTAGGTCACCTAGGCCAGGAGGTGGACAGTGCATAGCAAGGGCCCATTCCCATGAAGGCAGGAGCTGTGTGCAGTAAGGGGTCCACCCCCATTAGGTCACCGAGGCTTGAAGGTGGGCCATGCGCAGTGAAGAGGGTGCAGTGTGCAATACTTCTATCTGTGGGCAAACTACATCTAAGAAGATTAATGGCTGAGGCGGGTGGATCACGAGGTCAAGAGATCGAGACCATCCTGGTCAACATGGTGAAACCCCGTCTCTACTAAAAATACAAAAAATCAGCTGGGCATGATGGTGCGTGCCTGTAGTCCTAGTTACTCGGGAGGCTGAGGCAGGAGAATTGCCTGAACCCAGGAGGTGGAGGTTGCAGTGAGCCGAGATCGCGCCATTGCACTCCAGCCTGGGTAACGAGAGCGAAACTCCATCTCAAAAAAAAAAAAAAAAGAAGATTTATGGGGGATGCTTTAAGTCACACAGCAGTGACAGAGCTGTCAGGGTTACCGCCACCTTCTGACAGCTTCCAGTGGGTTCTATAGGAAGATGTTTTTCAAGCAGCACAGTAGCAAGAGCTGATAAAGTTCACAGTCACCAAGGTGGATTGCCGTTCTGAGGGCAGCCTTCCACAAGAACTGGAGCAAGGTCCTACAACTCATTTATCAGGAGGAGTGGCTCTCACCCCAAGCCTGCCATACAGCGGGTATCTTTATGATACTGAACGCTGCCGCCTGGGCCGTGGATTCTTGTCCTGGTATAACTGTTCTTCCCTTAAATCATGCTCTGCACTGCGACCACTCTAGGCGTTCCTCCGATTATGAACTAAGATATAATTATATATATGTAGGGAAATATTCTGTAGGCACTCATAGTATCAACTATTGTATGATTATATAGAGAGAATTATATAAAGGGAGGTTTCAAGTCCTAATTCTATAAACTAATATATGATTATGTAAGGATTACATAACAGGAAATAGCTGAGTAGTAACACTGTAATGTGCGTATTCCTCAAGCCCCAGCTGTGCCAGAGTTCTGCCTCGCTTTCATTCCTCGGTGCATATACCGGGGTCACCCACACAGAATCGGGATTTAGAGAACCTGGCGCAGCGCTAGGTCTGTGAGCGTGGACCAGTGGGGGCTGGGGCCGCACTTGTGGCGTTTTCTCTAAAACATGCCTTGTCTCATTTCCCTTCCCCAAGATCGACCTGATGCCTCATGACCTCATCACTCAGCTCCTGCGCGTTCTGGCCATCGAGACGAAGCAGGAGAAGGCGATGGCCCAGGCCGACCCCACTGAGCTGATGCTGAGCGGCCTGGAGGCCTTCTCTTTCGACTACATCGTCAAATGGCCCCTTTCACTCATCATCAACAGGTGCGGGCCGGCCACCCGGGCGATGCCAGCCCTTCATTCAGGTTCAGCAGCCGCGAGAACCGTGCCATGCAGTGGCCACGTTGTTGCACGGAGGACCCAAGGCGTCTCTCCCCAGCCTTCACTGCCTGCGGGATTCACAGGCTGCCCATGGGCCACCATGTAGATTGTGGGGCATGGGCGCCACGTCCACGACGCCGACGGCCACGGAGACCCACGCCTGAGGTGCCGCCTCTCTCTTTCAGGAAAGCCCTCACTCGCTACCAGATGCTCTTCAGGCACATGTTCTACTGCAAGCACGTGGAGCGGCAGCTCTGCAGCGTCTGGATCAGCAACAAAACCGCCAAGCAGCACTCACTGCACTCCGCCAAGTGGTGCGTTCCTCCTGTGCCCCCCACCCCCGTGCGCCCTGCAGGTAGACAGTTCCTCCT